CCGACGGCGACGGGGCTGGAGGAGGCGGGGGCGGGGGCGAGGGGGAGGCGAGGGGCGTGTGGGTGCGCGTGGAGGAGGCGGAGGCGGCGCGGGAGATGCGCTGCGCAGGGCTTCGCGCGCGCGCGCCTGCAGTCCCCGCGCGGCGCAAGTGGCGCCCGAGTTCCTCAGCCCGCAGGGACACCTCGCAGGTCAGCCACTACACGCTCACTCACTCACCCACTCGTTAAGATAGGATGCTCTTTACTCGTACATTAATAATACCTTGTTTGAGACCAATAGAGTCCCAAAAAAGAATAACCGATGTAAGAAGATGAGAGATGTTTATATATTTTTGAATAATAAAGTCCGACGCTGGTACATTCTGTTGTTGATAATAGTTCTTTTAATACCATCGTTGATAATCCTCGTCACAATTGGTTACCAGGGCTTATTAATAATTGAAAATTTTTACTATCAAAACGAGTAAAGTGTTAGAAAATAAATAGATTTTGAATACTTAACATTTGTATGAGTTACTATTATTGAAATTAGAGTTTAAAAGCACATCGGCCTTATTGATAAAATATTTCTTGACTGCATCATTGCTTATCTGTCATTATCAGAACATCAGTTTCATTCAAACATTAATAACATAGACTTTAAAGCTACAGAGGATTAATTACAAAATGTTTGCTTTGCAGAAAACCTCCTGTTACTGTGTCTCTGAAGGAAATGTTATAACTTCTTGGAGGTATGATAGCTTTCTCGCAATGAACATGAAGGTAAGAAAAGTTTCTTGATACAATAATGTGACACGATATCCTAATTAACAGGCAATTTCACCGACACTGGTGCGTCCGCAAATTACGATGATGCAGCAATCAAGTATTTATCTTCTTCACACGAACAGTACATGTTATATAATGCAATTGTTAATTACAATTGGTCGCCCGTAATACAGTTCGCCTAGATACTAATACGTATCTATCGGGAGGCGGCGGGGAAATATCATACGTAACACCGTTAATAAAAAATTTCATTATTACAATGTACTACCAAAAAAGCGATAATTTTCGCCACCTACAACTGGCCCTAGAACTTAGTGTTTTCAGTGCTCTTATTCTGATGTCATCTGTACTTCAGTTTCCATGGTATCGCTTCCACATTCGCATTAGGTAATCGAGTGCAGTTCCCCGGAGCTCGGAACACGATGTCGTTAGCGCCCCTCTCGTGGCTCCTACGAATTGACCATCTTCACGCTTCCTTTCGACGAACCGAATCCCGCAGTGTCGGTAAGATATACCACGTGCACGTGCACAGCGCGTCTGAGCGTCTGTGGGGGTTCCCAGCACACACTCAACTTGCGTATGTGCTCGCTGGTTGTGGGCTCAGATTGCTGCAGAAATCCAACACTCCTGGGGTGTAAGCGTGCAGACCGCCGAAGAAATCGTGGGTGTGTCACGGCAGCCACCGGACGGGCGTGAGGTGGAGGTGAAAAGTAGACGCCCGGCCCGCCGGCCCTGTGAGTGCCGCGTGCCTTGTAGTGAAGACGTGTGCCGGGAAGAATGTGGACCACTCGGTGGGCGCGGCCCACCGCGGAGGCGTGTCTTGCGGCTCACCCCCCGGGGCTCGCCAGCAATGAGAATACCCAAGTTGCGGCGTGGGGGCGATGCAGAGCGCGTCGCTTGTAGTGTGCAGGACAGGGCCGGTGGCTGCG